TTTTTTTTTTTAACACGCGCCCTCTGCAATGCTAGCGATGCTGATAGGAGCAGACAACGCTAGCACCCGAGGGAGGGCTCCATCTATTGGTGGGGAGCGGCACCTGCTGGAAACCGGGTCCAGCGTAATCCCACCAGCTAACCGTAGATGATCCAGGGTGGTGCCAGTTGCGACCTTATCCTGGCACAAGACAGCGGGCTCAGGACCTCCCTAGTCAACCGAGCACCCATTGAAATGGTGAAGTGGTCTGCTTCAGCCATGATGTGGCGTAAATGGGGCGCCGACCCCAGTCGCCAGCAGGTGATCCTTCCTGCCAATAGATGGAGCCCAAGCAACAAACAAGCAGACCAAGAACCCTAGGGTAGACTGCTCCAAATGTGAGATGGAAATTGGAAAGAAAAAAGAAAAGGGTAAAAATTTAGTCAAAAAGTAATAATGTACTTTTTTTAAGTTTTTTTTTTTTTTTTTTTTTTTTGTACCTCGCTGGGGATAGAACTAGGGGTGATATGGGCACCTGGTACGACCCCAGCGCATGTGGCTCCGGTCTTACAGGTGGGGAGCGGTACCTGCTGGAAAACGGGTCCAGGCTGCCTGAGATACAGCTTGCAATAATCAGTGACAAAAGGGTAAAAGGGAAGAAAAGAAAGATGGACAGACCTCTTCAGCTCCATATAGAAGGACGTGGGCCCCGAAAGATGCAGCCATTAAGGTACTCCACAAAATCGCTGCGCTAGAGCTAGCGCCCTGAAGCCGGTCGACCGGCAGGGCCCGGTCGCCCCGGCTCGACCAGCACCGGGGGAGAACAGCTCCCCGGCTGCTGGGCCTGCCTACGTGCCCGACAGGAGCAAGTGGTTGTTTGCCATGTGGTACCTGTTGATTGCTGATGTGGACGTCTTGCGACACGTGGACAGGGGTAGCGCCAGCCATGGGACTGTCACGTGAATTGTGTGAGTGGTGCAGCTAATTTGGCCCGAGATGGATTCGGTGGACGAGCTACAACATCGTGCGGAGGAATGGCTTGACACACTGGGAGAGGGGTGCAAGCAGTTGCGGATGATAGTGGGGATGCTGATGCTGCGGAAGCAGGGGGGGGTGGAGATCGATGGAGGGGCGATCTCTATGGAGCAGTGGTTAGATGATAGGATCCAGGAGATGCTGGAGGTCATATGGGAGCTGGAGGAGGGGTCGGATCCCCGGCTCGAACCCTACATCGACTGGAGGTGGGCGGACGATGGGATGGGGGTGTGCAAAGCCCTCTTTATAAAGGGCCGCAATCTCCGCAATCAGTTGGAGAGCGAGATGGGTGACAAGGGCGACAAGGAGGAATGGGGAGAGGGTGGAGTGGATGCCAACGAAGATAATTGCGGCGACGACACTGGCGATAACAACACCAGCAACAACAATAACAACGACAACAACAACAACAACAACAACAACAACAACAACAACAACAACAACAACGACAACAACGACAACAACAACGACAGCAACAACAGCTACGACGACGACAACAACAACAACAACAACAACGGCAGCGACGAAGGGGTTGATTGCTGCAACGACACTGGCGACAGCAACAGCAACAACAAAAACAACAACAACAACGACAACAACAACAGCAATGACGGCGACAACAACAACAACAACAACAACAACAACAACAACAACAACAACAACAACAACAGCGGCAGCAACGCTGGGGCTGATAACAAAAACAGCAACTACAACTACAACAACACTAATGATGGAGGCAGTGAAGACGATGGTGGAAGCGACGATCATGGCAGCAGCAACGACAACAACAATAACATTCACGATAGCGGTAGCAGCAGGGTTGAGAGCGGGACTGGGGATGACATCAACAACAACAGCGATGATGGCGATAGTGATGACGACGGAGGCAGCGATGACCAAGGCAGTAGCGGAGCTAAAACCCTCAGCACGACGGGAGAGATGCCGCACGCTGACGTGGAGGGGGTTGGGATTGATAAGTGGTTTGCCATCTCCCCCTCCCTCCCCCTCTTTAACCTCGTCGTCTGCTTGAGGGTAGGAGTGGGATAATCGATGTTGATTGGTGTTGCCCGCCCCGCAATACCAATCAACAATGGAGTGTTGAGGGGGGCTGGTTAGGATCTAGATCGCGGGTGGTCAATCCTTCCCTAGCGCGGGGAAGTAATCAATGCCCCCGCTCACACACATATCATATCACTCATATAGTTTTGATTGATAAAGATCATACACTTCACATCACATCATAGTTAGGGTTTCGTGTGTAAATTTTGATACTTACAAGAACACAAAAATCACACACATCATATATATATATTACACATACATATTAGGGGTTTCGTGGACTTGTATAGGGACTCTGTGGCCGGCTTCCAGCTGATACATTCAGATACATTTACATCAATGTACAGGGAAGCTGGACCCGATTTCCAGCAGACACATTCTCATAACTGTACAGGGACGCTGGACCCGATTTCCAGCAGGTGTAGCTCCCCACCAATAGATGGAGCCTTCGATGCCGGGGCCTACTTACCGGGGGTGCTCTTATCACCTCGTTAAGTAGGTTCCCGTATAACGAAGTTTCAATAATAATAAGAGAAAACTACAGCGCAGTCAGGGTTACAGTTTGTAATTGCATTTGGAACTGCGTTTTAGCAGTTTAGTCAGGGCCCGAGTTTCAATTGCATT